CCCCAAAACCCCAAAACCCCAAAACCCCAAAACCCCATTAGGCTAAATCTATCAAAAATAGAATCATTTACTATTACTTGGTAATTATAAATTTATAAGAATGAGATTTGATATTTCAACTTTTAAATAATTGTTTATCTTACTCGTTTGCTTACTCTTCAAGCAAAAAGATTTTCATCTCATCTTAATTGATGAGCAAATCAAAAGGTAGATTGCTAAGTTTGACTTAACAATTGGAGTCTCTTCTGAATGAATTATGTTTATGCCAATAATTCTTTGGGAATTTATAAGTATTCCAAGTATTCATTATTCTCAGATTCTTATTTTGATTAGGAAACTGAATGATCCAGAGATTCTTATCCATTCTCATCAAAATCCTCTATTTTTTCATTTTGTTCTTCAAGATGTTGTGGAATCTATTGCTAAGTTTAAATTTCTTAAGATTATTGAATTTCCTCAGTTTTTTCTAATATTTATTCCATATCTTCCTTTAAATCATTTGCAGTTGAGGTAGAAACATTTAATGGATTTGAAATTTCTTCAGCTTAGCCAATATTAGATTAATTTTATTCTTGATGACTACAACTCAATTATTATTTTATATCCTCCAAAGCATGGCCAATCAACTTTGCTTGATTTTAAAATAATTCAAGGTTTGCTTGTGCTTGTTCTACTTATTTATTGGCTGCTTAGAAGTTCACTTCTATAGCCTCAACCATCAATACCAGCTTCTGAGTATAATTCTAAGAGCATTCTAATGTTTTATTACATTTATTATTAGTCGTGGCATTCAATTATTCTGAAGCAGAAGAGTTGCTATTTAGAAGATTTACTGTTTAATTCAAAATGGGAGACTCTGGGTGCAATTCTTCAAAAAGCTCTTGTAATTCTTACCAGTTTTCTTATAGATTCACCGTGCTAATAGTCTTGTTTTCATAAATCTATACTTTATCAGTCTCGTTTCCTCTATCTTAATAAGCATCTTCCATTAAATCAGAGATAGGTTCAATAATTTCATCAGATGATGCATCATTATGAGTCCCAATAACACTATCCTATTCATCAAACATAGCTGAAGAATTAAGAACTTTATCATTGATGTTCTCAAATATTGTATTATTAAATTGTAGATCTTTTTCAGGGTTGCTTTCTAAATAATCCATATCATTCTCTTGATTTTTCTAGATTTTAATTTCATTACTAACATTTTCATCTCGAATATAATCTGGTAGTTATTCTAGTATTAAAAGAATTTGCTTATTAGTCTCATCAAATACTTTTATGAGATTGTTCTTTCCTATTAATTCCTCATTATCTTCTTCACTTCCTTCATTATTTTGAGATGCATATTATTAATTAGGATCAGATAAAAAATCTTGAATCTATAAAAGTTTGAATTCTCTAGATAGATTAGGCACTTATGAAAATTACTTTTGTATAATAGCCTGATTTCCAATAGAAATAGAATAAACAGAAATAAACAAGAAGAAACTGATAAAAATAATTTGCTTCAGGTTCAACATGGACTTTTTGAAACTTTAATAATTGTTATATTAGTGATAACAATTCAATATTTATTGATTCTAGCTAGATTGTAAAGTTAATAATTTAAAAAAGCAGCCGGAGAATTTTTTTTTTATTTATATTAACATTCCGAGCATTTTTAATTCTACCTTATGGGGTTTTGGGGTTTTGGGG